AGAATGAAAACATTCACAGAACATAAACCTACTTGTTTCAAATATAGTAATCATCTAAGAATAAGGATTGTCCATTTTCTACCTATTGAGAATGAAAACATTCACAGAACATAAGCTTAAAACATTTCTTTCTTTTGTTTCTAACCTATGGGAGGCCTGTCACTTTTCTAAAAGTTATAATCAGGCTGAGTTTCACTTCCTGGGCTCTCTGGTAGAATATAGAATATGCTCTTCCCAGCCCTCCCTAGCATTGAGTCCTGCCTCCTTCCCCACTCCCCTGCCACCACCGCCCCTGCTCCCTGCTGCCCTGCAGTTGTTTCTTAATGCAGCAGAAGGCTGCAACAACCACAAACTACATTGCCCATGCTCAATCCATGCCCATGTCCTTTTGCATTTCCCCCAGTCAGACTACCCACTCCCACAACAACCAATATCAGTGTTCCCACTTTTCATACATTATCTATTTTTCTCTAAAATAAAGCAGATCTAGCATATTTCAATTATCCTTTGAGACAGTCTCTACTATTTTCCTTGTTTTTGTTGTCTAGAATTTATTTTCATCTTTGGATCTACAGGAAATCCATTCCATGTTGTTTTTTACAAGCAATATCTAGTTGAATTATCAACCACATTTTACTTTTTTCTCACCATTAGTTTATCCATCTAATAAATTCTTATTGCATGCCTTCTATTGGCCTGCTATAAGTTGTACATGACTGGAGTCAGCAAAATCATCTCTGAACTCATATAGTTGACAATCTAGTTAGAGACTGGAGATGATAAACAAGTAAACAAGTAAATATATATCAAAAATAAGTGTCATGGAGAAAAATTAAGTAGTATAAGGATTGTTATTTCTCTAGGTTGTCAGGCAAGAGCTCACAGATGGGTGACATTTGAATGCATACTTGAAGGAATTCTGGGAGAAAAGTATCCCAAGGAGAGGGAATAGCATATACTGGTTAAGGCCTTCAAGGAAAATCAAAGAGGCCAGTTCTGTTGGAGAAGAATGAGCAAGAACATAGCAGCAGTAAATGGAGGCAGAGAGAGTGGGTGAGAGTGCGGTTGGGAAAAAAATCATATAGGACTTTCAGATCACTGTAAATACTTTGTTATTTACTCTAAGTGATATAGGATGCCATGACAAGATCCTGAAAAAAAAAAACAGTAACATGTTCTTATTTTAGCGAGACCAATTTGGGTGTTGGGAATAAGGAGATTCAAAAGCAAAAGCAGATAGGCCATTAAGAAACTGTTATAATAATCCAGATAAATGTTGGTGGCTTGATTGAGGGAGAAAAAGATGGAGATTGTAAGAAGTCACTACATTCTGGATGTAATTTGAAGGTATGTCTGAGAGAATTCGTTGATGCAGTATTAGTTATGGGGTATCATTGAAAGAATAGAGAAAAGACCTGAGAATCTGAAAAGGTGAAGGTGATATTTACTGAAATGGCCTACACTCTTGAATGAGTAGATTAGGAGATAAAATTGAAAGTGTGGTCATGGGATTTATAAGTTTGAGATGCCTATCAAACATTCAAAGAAATTACTAAATAGTCAACTGGACATATAAGCCTGTAGTTCAAGAAAGAGATCTGAATTAAAGTTATGATTTGGACAACATCATCATATATATGGCATTAGTGTCATGATGCCAAATGAGATAATCTAGGAAAAAATCATAGAGAAAAGAGGAGAGGAAGATAATTTCTGGTGATATTTCAGTGCTAAATGGTTTGGAAAATGAAGAGAACACAGTGAAGTTGAACAAGACGAAGTACTTACTGATGTGGAAGAATCAATGGAGAATAGTGTTTCAGATACAAAATTGAGATAGTGTGTCAAAGAAAGGGGAGTGATCCATTGTGGCAAGTGTTAGTCATAGGTTACATAAGATGATTAGGAATTTGCCGCAACGTGGAAGTCATTGGTGACTAGAGCAAAAACTATTCCATCGGTGTAGTGGAGATTAAAGCCTGATTTGAATAAGTTTAAGAAATTGGGCAAAGAGGGATTAAAGACAGGAGTGTAAGACAATTTCTTCAAGAAGTTTTGATTTAGAGGGGAGCAGAGAAATGGGTCAGTAACTTCATGGGCAGTAACTGAAATAGGAGAAAAGATCTTTTCCTCTTTTTTTAAAAGGAGAGAATTTTAGCACACATTTAAGGTGATTCTTGTCTTCTTTCCAAAATAGCTCCTTTAGGTATTTTTAAAAATTTTATGTATGTGTATTTCTATTTCAATCATTTTGGGGTACAAGTGATTTTTAGTTACATGTTTGAGTTGTGTGGTGGTGAGGAAGTCTGAGATTTTAGTTAATCCATCACCCGAGTAGTGTACATTGTACCCAATATACACATTTTTATCCCCCAGACCCCCTACCCCCTCCTCAGTCTCCAGTGTCCATTATATCACTCTGTATGCCTTTGTGTATCCATAGCTTAGCTCCCACATGTGAACAAGAACTTAATGGTATTTGATTTTCCATTTCTGAGTGACTACTTTTAGAATAATGGCCTCCAGTTCCATCCAAGTTGCTGCAAAATGTGTTATTTCCTCCTCTTTAATGGCTGAGTAGTGTTCCATGGTGTATATGTACCACATTTTATTTATCCACTCATTGGTTGATGGGCAATTAAATTGTTTCTATATCTTTGCAATTGTGAACTGTGCTGTGATAAACATACATGAGCAGGTATCTTTTTGACATAATGACTTATTTTCCTTTAGGTAGATACCCAGTAGTGGGATTGCTGGATTGAATGGTAGATCTACTTTTAGTTATTTGAGCAATTTCTATATTGTTTTCCATAGAAGTTGTACTAATTTACATCACTACCAGCAGTATATAAAGCAATCCCTTTTTGCCACAACTACGCTAACATTTATTGTTTGTTTATTGTTTTTGTTTGTTTGTCTGTCTTTTTGTAATGGCCATTCTGGCTAGGATAAGGTGGCATATCATTATGGTTTTAATTTGCATTTCCCTTTTTTAGGTATTATTTAATAAGAGTCTTTTGGTAGTAAACTGTTAGTTTTCATGTGTGCTGACACACATATACACGGAGTCTTTAGTGACAGGTTAGTTGGATACTAAATTCTGAATTGATGGCTCTTTCTCTAACACTTTTAAAGTTTATTTGTGTTCTGGCATCTATTGTCACTAAAGAAAAATCCTTCACCAGTCCATTTGGGTCATTAGCAGGTAATCTGCCTCCTATTTTAAGTACTTTTAAAGATTTTTCTGTATCTCCATGCCATATGATAGATCTACTTTTTATTATACTTTACCTCAGTGATTACTGTGGACTTTTAATCTGCAAACTCAATTTTTGGATTTTATAAAATTATCAGTAATAACCTTTTCTAAAACTGATTCTTTGCAGGTGAATTAACTCCTATCTTTCTGGAATTCCCATCATATGTGTGTTAGAGCTTCTGAATCTGTCCTCCAGGGCTCTAACTGCTCTTTTAAATTTTTCAGTACATCTGTCTTAATTGAAAAAAAAAATATTGCAGTGTTTGGCACAGAAGAAGAAGTTCAAAGTACAACTTTGCAGTGCCACGTTGACCAGCTGTTCTGGCATTGGTTATTCTTTAAAGTTATTTTTAAGGTTAATATACCTTATCAGGCAGCAGGTCTCAAAACCTAGGGAAGCATAAAAGCCTAAAGGCACCTTGGCAAAAATCAAGCTGATTAAAATGATCTTTCCCTTTTTCTTTTCCTGCTATTCCTTCATCCCTAAAGAATAGTGAGGAAGCTTTCCTTAAAAAGATATGTATAAAAAGCAGAAAGAAAAAAGGGAATCCAGAAAATGTAGGAGGACATACTTAGATAATTCACAGTAAATGTTCCAAAGAATATTCAGCCTCACTAATTCCCAAATAAATGTCAAAAAATGGCAGATCATTTTTATCCATTAAATTAGTGGCAACAGGAGGAAAATAACATTTTGCTGACAATTCTAATAGTGCAATTGAAATTCTCTCCTTGTCTAGTTTGAGTCTAAATTAGGGCAGTTTGAAGGCAATAGGGTGATATCTATGAAAAATCTCATAAACATCCTACCCTTCCATGCAGCAATATTGCTTCTCTGAATCAACCATTGGACAGTAAATGGAAATAACAAACCAAATTTCCCCCCACCTTCCAAGAGACGTTTATTGTAACATTACTGATAATATTGAAAAACTAGAAGCAATCTATATCCGTGACCCACCCTTGTTTCCACTGTTACTCACTCTTAAGAAAATATTGGGTCTACAAAATAACCCAACAGACATGCCCATGCATCCAAAATTTCCATGTAAGAAAACTGTTCAATCCATTCCATTCATTTAAACAAGCCAATAAACAAAGCTGGCTTTGACCCACTAAACTGATCCTACCAACTAAGAATAGTTTATGGCTCATAGTTTGAAAAGTACCAATCTGAATGGCCTGTAAAAGGCATATGATGGCATATGAATTAAATTTCATATTCACAATTTTTTATGTTGTTTTTGTTTGGGGGTAGTTGGAGGGGTACTATGTTTCTTTAGCCAGCAAGAAAGATAATGTTTCCATATAATGGGGATTTACTGTAATGATATCAGATTTGTTCTACTATGTCCAGCCATTCTCATGTATCTCTCTCTCAATACATCACGGGTCCTTGTGGATTCTTTTGTGATGTCCTCAAGCTCCCTGTCCACTCCCTTGCAATTTGTCCAAGCTTATAGAACCTGCCTGTATCACTCAATGTCTGATTTCAAGCATTTTCTATTGGTCAGCCTTTGGTATTAGGACTTCATTGTCAATCTACTCAATTAATATTAACTGAGCTAAGGTGAGTTAATTTGAATGAACAAAGAATTGCTAAAAGCTGCATTTCCTAGAACATAGGGCAATATAATTGGCAAGTACTTGAGAGTCTCTAATGTTAAATGAAAAAAAAATAATAAATAATAAAAGAGACAACTTTTTATATGGAGTTTGTTTTCCATTTTCTTTAGATATTTTATTAGAGACAAAAAAGGAATGCAGAATTTATTTTATACTATATTAGTCCTGAACAGATTTCTACACAAGCAAGTACTATGCATTTATAATCAGAAAAAATATCAAAATTAGCTCTGTGGAAAATGATCATCTTGCAAGCAGATATCATGTACCCCTATTCTTGATTTAGCTCATCTTCTTGATGTAAATATGAAGTGTCTGTGATTAAGATTCCATTTGAAGCCAAAATCTTCATGTTTGTCTTAACAAACACCATCTCAGAGTACATTGCTTTGTGTAAAACTTGTTTGTGGTTTGAGTACAAACCTGCAAAGATATAGTTCAGGCTCCTTTTCCCAACGTCCTTCACTTTCCTTAGTATGACCGTTATTTTGTAAAATCTGATAAGGCCCCTAATAACTTGGGGTTTGGGAATTTGATTTGAGGTAACATGGCTTAGCGTGTCACCTATTTTTTATTAAACCAAAAAAGACAACCTCTATGTGACAAAGATGTGCATTTATGTGGACCTTAATAATTACCCCCAAATAAAACTATTCACGGGTTCTGACTGTTCCAAATACTTCCAGCTTCAGCACACTAATAGGATTTATAGCTGTCTTAGATGAGGAAGCAGTACCTTCTAAAGTTCATTAAAAAGCCATATCAGAATGCCATGTGTTCAGGTACATTTTCTTTTCTTTATGGGTATCAAGAAAAAATCTCAGCGTATGTTTTTACACAAGGCTGTGCGATTACTCTTTCCCATTACTCTTTCAATTGAGCCTGACAAATGAGGTAAAAAAAACTATCATTCAAGGACAAATTAGAAAGATCTAGGTTGGCTGGTGACAAAACCACTGACTAACTGGCCCTTTGTATTTTTATAACCCTTCATTGTATGGAATCCAGAATCATAGTGAGTCTCAGACATGTCCCACAAGTCTAGGTAGCCCTCAACAATGTGTTCAGTGATCCAGCCCATCAGCATCCAAGCCAGCAGGGTGAAGGAGGAGAAGTGGAGGGGTTGCTCATTGCCTTGAAGAATGCATATGCCACTTCCATTCAAGTCCTGCTCACCAGAACCTAGTCATGTGACCACACTTAGCTGCAAGGTTGGCTGAGAAATGCCTTTAACTGGGTTCTATTACTAATTGAAAGTGGGAAGAGTGAAAATTGGGGATAACTAATAAATATTAGTTAGTCCAAGTCATGGATTGTGATATTAATTCCATGAGCAAGGAAAGTCATTTAAATGTTTTATGCAGAGGGATGCCATGACGGTAACTATGTTTCAAAGCATATTTGTGTGTGTGAGAGAGAGACTGAAAGAGAGAGAGAGAGAAATGGATTAGAGAGAACTTGTCTGGGTGTTAAGAGGCCATTTTCAAATCCAAGTGAGAAATGGTGGCTAGTAACAATAGTGAGGATAAAGGGGGATGGAATGGACCCAAAAGATACAGAAGAAATAACTTCAAAAGATGAAACAGGGGCAAATGAGGAAGGAAAGACCTCCAGGTAACTCCTAGGTTTCTGATTTATACTGCAAATTCTGGAGATCAGGCGTTTATGGACCACTAAGTTTAGTTTTAGAAATGCGCTTTAGAGGTATTTGTCAGATAGGTGGTTTCTACACATTCAAAATAAGATTTCAAAACATATTAGCCACAAATTCACCATCAGTGAAATTCTCAAACCTAGTCATTGTTAACTGAACCGTTTAAATGAATTTCCCCCTCTGAGTGTTTCTCATCTTAAAGGGTTTGTATGTATCACATGTCACAGAATGGTTTATTGCACATAAACATGGGAAAGCAAGCCAGGCAGGAGTCCAGTAATCAGCTAAAGGCCCGACTAATTCTGGAAGCAGTCATAAATCATCAACAGTCTTCTTGTGTTGACAGTGTGGACAGAACTGTTGCTCACACACAGGAAAATGAGTCACACAGTCTTGTGTGTATTGCAACTCACTCCACACTCGATGATGGGAATCGTCATGATTGTTCTGTGTGAGCAGCTACAAGAACTATGGCAAAGTTCCAGAGCTAGAAAGCAGTTCTTTTAGGTTTGTTTTTTTTTATGTCACTCAAGTATGTAATTCACTAAATGTTTAGTAGTTTGTACCTTTTGGTTGACTTGTGAGCCCTTTCTAAAAGAGGCCTATTTCCCTCTATTAGAAGGTAATAAAAAAAAAAAACCTAAATTACATTTTCTAAGTGCTGTGTTCTTCTGCCCAATTGATCAAAATGTACTTAGTTGATTAGGACTTTGAAGGGCTAGGATGAGGGGACTAAATTAATATTCAGGAATTCCAGTTTTCTAGGGGTTTTCTAATCAACTACTTTATACTGCTGAAAATGGTTAAACGTTTACAATGAAATTAAGTATGCTAGGATTTCTGATGAGCACTGATGTTTTAGAATTCATTTATTCATTAATTTCTTCATTTATAAAATGTACAATGTGCTATCTTCTGGCACTTGAGATACTTTAGTGAGGTAGCAGTAAGCACAACAGATGGCCACTTATGCCTTTGTTCTTGCACTCCTTTGAGAAGGGAAAGGACCAGATTCAGATAATCTATCACTGCTTTCAACCCATCTAAATCAGAGCTTTTGTTGAGTACTAATGCTTAGCCCTCTTCTCAGCTGATTTGGCTGCCTTCATTGTAATAGGCCTCATGAGACTCCAGCCCAGGCCTGGCCTTCACTTCAGCAGGCAGAGCATAGAGATGTCCTGGGCAAAGGTCAGGGGATTTGTTATATGAGGCAATGATCTGGTGTAATTTAATTTACTCTTCTGGTACTAGATATATGTGTGTGCGTGCATGAGAGAGAAAGATTGAGAATGACTGATTTTGGAGGGATTTTGTGAAGGTTTACATATCAAAGCAGAAAGACCAAGAAGTTAGCGATTAATACATGCCAAGTGGTGACCAAGAAACTTCCAACCCCTCCCTCTCTGCCAGATTTTAACCAAATCAGTGTGATGTGATCTGCTTGCATACATGAGTGAATGAAAAAGGAAATTTAAAAGGTTCTTGATATAAAGCCTGGAGGAAACAATACGAAACCCAGCCTCTATTTCAGCAATATCTGCCGGACTGTTGGTTAGTATTCCCTAACTGTTATTTATTGTTTGATTAAAAGACTGATAATCAGGATTTTTTTTTCTACTTACTTTTGCATTTTTTAGATATAAATCTTCAATGTGGCTTAGGCCAGATGTTTTTCTTTCTCCTCCCACTTCGTTCTTCCCTCTTCTGGGTTAATTTCTCATTGTTCTCTCTTCCCCTGACTTCTCTGCCCTTTTCCTTCCTACTGTAAGCGAAACTTCTTTTTGTGTGTGCTAGATTTATAAAGTATTCTTATTAGGCAAAGAAAGCCTTTGGCTGCCTTCCTCCTTGTCTGGTCACCATCGAGATATAATTTGGGTTTTTAAAGGTTGTTCTCTGAAGGAAGAACTAGTTTTCTGAGCATTTGAAGAGCAGATAAATTTTGAGAAAGTCAACAGAGGTGGTAATTTGCACTCAGGAAATACATAAGGGTTTTAATTCTGTTCCACATGTTAAATTTCAATAGTTTACATTAAGGAAACTATTATGAAGAAGAAGTGATACCACAATTGCACGTTTGTTTTGCATCTTTAGTCTCAGAGATGGTCAGTACTTTGACGGAAAGAGAAGAAGGCTTTGTCTCCTTTTGCTTCTTGCTATACCTCTTTGCAGATTAACTCTGATGCTTTGGTTTTCTTACTGCATGCCTAATTAAAACCATCTCAACATGCCTGATGTGATGGGAAACACCGCTTATTCTATCTCAATGGAAACCATTCAGATGAACTTTCAACAGAAGGACATGCTCTCACCTCTTCTAAATACCACTTTTAAAATCGTGTCCATGGACCTCTCTTCATTTCTTCAACAATTTGTTTAAAACTGGTTGTGCTAGGTAGTGTGGAATATAAAGATGACCCACCGAAGAGAGATGAGAATATCATTGATTCCTTTTGGTGCTGTAATAGAGGTTTGTCAAGGCTATAAGAGAAGGAGAGAGGAGAGGCACCTGACTTCACCTGGGAGTGGGGTTGTTGCTAAGGTGCTTCTAAGTTGAACTGTCCTTGAGGGAGGAGGTTTAGGGGAATGAGTAGCAAAAATGGATTAAGTGAGAAGAGGATAAGAGGCAGCAGGGCCAGAGGTGTGAATAGGCTGGAACCTTCTAAGAAGACTCCTTTGTGGACAGAAGAAAGGGGAGGTTTGTGGAAATGGTGGAAGATGTGAATGGAAATGTAGGAAGAGGCCAGATCAGATCACACATGGCTGGATGTACCTCTCTAAAAGTTTATAATTTGTGCTGGGGAGTTTGAAACAGAGGCTATAAATTGACAATTTAAGAAAATCACTGTGATGTCAGTGTGAAGAATAGATTTTTGCAAGATTCTAACTAGAATGATTTTCAGAAATTTAGGCCCAGTTTAGTTCAGATGTCAGGGCTAGTTTTGAGTAAATTCCTTTATTTTATTACTCCAGGGCTCTTGGACTGCTTTAAAGAAAGTAGAAAGGAGAACTCAGCCTCATTCAGAGAGGCTGGGCGAGTAACCAGCCAGGTGGGGAAGGCTAAAGAGCTGGGTCGCCTTGTGCCCGCACTTGTTATGATTTGTTTGTACTGTCTGCCTGATGATCAATGATATTAACTATGACAGCACATTTGAGCCCGCGGTAAGTGTGTCTTCTTGCTACTTCAAGTGCTTCTTGAAAATACAGTCTGAAGACAACATGAAATACTGAAAAAGCCCACTGGACTGGGCACAGTAGACCTGATGCTGCTCCCAGCTTGGCCTGCACCAGCCGTGGGCCTTAGACACATTACTTCACCTCTCTGGGCTTAACTTACCTCATTTGTAAAATGAAACCTTTAGACTAACACTGCCCTTGGGGCAGTGTCCACCCCCAGCTTCCATCATTGTGATTCTGCCTCCCCAAATGTTCCCCTGGACCCCATCACCACTAACCCTAGGCTTCTAGACATTCTGATTCATAGAGAAATAGGAAAGCCATTTATCTTCAATTGATGTCAGCCAGAAGTACAGTTATGTCTTAAAGAATCTACTCTAGGGAACATGTAAAATAATTTTCTGAGGAAAAACAATTGTGATTGGTGTTCTCTCCTGAGCTGATGACAAAAGGGAAGCAGGAACCACTTCACACATCTCAGTTGCTCCGTTTTTTCCCTTTTTATCCTCTTGAATTTTTCTGCCTGTTCCTCCTGCAAAAGTAGAGAGGAGTTTGGATGAGGATGCTAAGGAGATTGAGGGTAGGCACCAATGGGAGAGGCTGAACTGTGGGAAGCTGAGTTCTGCCAGCTGACAAAGGGGCCCGTGTTCAGCCTTTATTTGACATAGCAGCTGTTCAGGTGGAGTCTAGGCAGAATTTTCATGTTATTGTCACCTTACATACCTTCCTGAAATTCTCTTGCACCAACACTCAGCACCCTCAGGTTATGTTCTTCTGCCCAAAGTTTAGCATGAGGCTCAATTTCTAATGCTTTCTTTCCTCTTTTACCAAAACTCACTTCTAAAGGTCCAGAAATGACAGCTAGATGGTGGTCTGGATGTTTCTAAGGTGGAAAGAGAACTTCTAGTCTCTGGCTGACATCATGTCTACTGACAGCACCCCTCCTGCACGCAAACATGTAACACTTTTCTGCTTACTTATCAAATACAGCCCAGGACTTTGGTGGTTGAAGGCAGAGTTGGGATTATAAATTGATGCAGTAGGTCTGTGTCTTGTCCTGAGGAACTTTGCGAACAGCAACACAGGCACCAAGAACTCATCCGTTCCACCCACAGGGGCTCGTGATCTCGTGATCTGGGTATTGTGGAATATTTTATAGTAAAAGTTAAAAAAAACAAAACAAAACAATGTAGGCACAGAGGAGTTAACAGCTAAGTCTTGGTGGGAAGTATGGAAGGCTTCATGGAATAGTGATATTTGAACGTGACTTTGAAGGGTAAGTAAATTTCTGATTTGTCTAACAGTAGCCTTGAAAGTAAAGGAAGCTTGACCATAAAGAAGGCTGTTGAAAGTCTGGAGAGGAGAAAAGGTAGGAGACTGAGACTCAAGGAGAAGGTACTACATTCCAGAGAGAATACAGAGGTAGAATCGCCCCTCATGGTGACAAGTTAAATGTAAGAAGGGATGGAGAAACCAACTGGTGAACCCTGATCTCATTAAGCAAGATACGAAATAGAAGAAATGAACCTGCATGGTCATTATGTAGGGATCAGAGGCAGGAAGGAAATGCTGACTTTAATTTGGACAGAGGTTATTTTAGGTACCTGTGGGCATCCAATGTATTATTCCTGTATGTCTGAATCACATGTCGTTTGGTTCTTTAGCATTTTGATGATGATGCTACATGTAAAGTGCCCTAGTTTTCTTCCTCATTTGAGAGTAAAGTTTTAACTAGCAACATGATCACAAGTAGTTGGAAAGTTAAAATGTTATTCATATAACTTTTCAATGAGGGGAGCATGAATGGTTTGGTAGTGTTTTACAAGATGTGAAAACTGATTTCACTTAAGTAGACTGTATGAAAAATGTGTTTGTCGTTTTGACTTCCTGGTAGGTGGACAGTTTCTATGAATCCATAGTGGCTCCGGCTTCTGATTTCAAACCTCTTCAGCCAGCCAACTGATTTAGGAGAAACATGGCCAGGTCATTGAATTATAATTTTCTGAGTTATTCTGTGGTGGTCCCATAGGAAAGTAAACATAAGCCTCCTGGGAACTGAACTCTTAATTCAGGAGGACTAAAGACAAGCTCTTCTGAGCCAAGATTTGCAAAGGCATGTTACAAAGACAGACAGCCTTCCCACTTCCACATCATCTTTTCCTCCATAAATACATGCTCCTTTCTTTATTTTTCTCCTACCCTAGTCTGTTGTAGACTTTGACCTTGGCTGTTACTTTCCTATTAACACATTGCCTGTTAGGTTTCCTGGTTTGACCTGAGGTTAAGATGGAAAACAAGGCTAGCACACTACAGAGATAGGATCTTTCAGTGTTTCTCACTTTCCCTGGGATCATCTTATGCTGGTTTACATGTTCAAAAAATGAAAATAAATAAATAAATTGCATCACTTGATCCAGAGGTGATTAGACTCTAGGGGCTAAACTCTATCTTAGCCAAACTCAAGAGATGGGCCAATACACCAGTATGCCAGTATATTTGTTTGTTCTCTGTTGCACTGTCAAGCAGTTTCATTTCGTCTGATTATTGTGTTCAATTTTCAGAAAGATAGTGAACCCAGAAAACAAGAATCAGAAGGTCATTTGACAGCTGTGGAGTTGGAATAGAGGGAACTGAATGACCTTAGGGGAGAGCATCATCAAGCTTTGAGAAATTACTGTACCTGTCTCTGTGTTGGGACATTTCTTTTTGGTCCCAGGTAGTTGGAAGAGACAATCCATAAATTATTTACTATTTTTTCAACACTTCCTTATCAATTATTAACTGATTGATCTACATTGTCTCTAAAGTCCCTTCTGAGTAAAATTGCTAGGCACTGCAAAAAATGACCCTCTCAATTTGGACATGTTTCAGTGGTGACTGGGTTACTATCTTCCTGATTAATGTTTACGGTCAATCTCAGCTCTATAATGGACTCTTAGAGGCTGTAGTCATTTTCTATTGCTTCCATAACAAATTGCCACAAACTAAGTGGCTTAAACAATACCTATTTATTGTCTCTTGGTTCTACATGTGAGAAGTCTGGGCACACCATGTCCCAACTAGGCTCTTGCTTAGAGTTTGCAAGGCAGAAATCAGTGTCGTTAGGGCCTCTAGGGAAAAATTTGCTTCCCAGCTTATTCCGGTTGTTTTCACAAACTGAGTTCCTTGCCATTGTTGGACGGTGTTCTCCATTTCCTTGCTGGCTGTTAGCTGGGAGCCAGTTTTTGCTCCTAGAAGCTGACTGCATTGCATCTCATGGTTTCTGTATGCCCCCTCCCAGCAACAGAAGATCAACTCCTTTTCAAGTATCTCATCTCTCTGACTTCCCCCTTCTACCATATCTTGTTCTTCTTTTACAGGCTCAGGTAATAACATCA